TTCCTTGGATAGACATTGACAATTTGAAGCATAATTTGACAAGTTTGTCATTTTAAATATATGTGAATTAACATTTTTAATTTAACATATTTTAAAAATTCTTTATTCCTCTACTATACACAAATTAAAAAATATTTAAAATGTGTTAGATTGGGCACTCAGTGTGATAAATCCTTACGTAAGATAACCTTTGTAAATGTGAGGCTCCGGAAGTAGGTCGAAATTCGCGCAAGATAATGTTTTAATTTCGTATAAAAAAAAAGTGTTTTTTTTTATAATAATATATATTGTAAAAGGAAACCGTCTAACGCAAGGTGAATATATTATGTCCATATAAAGTCATATCTGTAGAAATTTCTGAGAAAAAACGAATTTCTCAGAAAGAAACAATAGATGAATTTGAGTACTTAGATCGAGCGTCTTCGATAGGAATCAAATTGTCAATCGGAGTTGACTCACCCCGCGATCTGGGCTCCGATCCCGTTACAATTTGTAACGAGGAGGGAGACCAATTAGAGAACGGGGGCAGATCGACATCGACCTATCGGAATGTTCGATCTGGGACTCAGAAAAACTTATAAAAATCGCGCAAAAATAGGATGTGACGTTCTTGGTTACTAAGTTCGGTGTGCTCCGCTTCTGGATTTTTTCTGCGGTTCGTCGTCCCGAAAGAAGTTTTCGCCATCCTGTCCCAGCAACTTTCGCCAAGGATAATCTACTGTGAGAATCAAATGAAGAAGTCCCCCGGTGTGTGTCTGTGTGAGGTCTTTTCGGCTCCGTTTTCGTTTACGATTTCAGCGTGGATTTTCGTCTCACATTGGATTACGATATATCGATGGAATCGGCTAACTATCCTCTACCTGTAGGTACAAGTTTTATTTAAATCGGTCAACTCGTTCTTGGGTTATTGTCGTCCGATTTTTTCGGGTTATTTCGGCCCGCATCGGGCTTCTGGCTTGCGTTCGGCCCGCATTCTAGGAGGTATTCGTCGGTCCGCCAAGCTTTCTATCGGCCCTGCAATTTTCATCACTGTACGTGTTTTACTCGTTCAGTTACTCGCGCTTAAAAAATTTACCGTTAAACAAAGAACCACGTGGTCGACCTAGCCACTCGGCGCGACGTAGCCGTCTCGGCGTTCGGCGGATTGCGGGCTCTGTCTTGGATTCACGGGAAATATTGTATCGACTTCCGATTAAGTGTCAAATTAAGTCTGTTATACGGTTATCTCGTTTTGTTAGTTGATAAGGATTTTATTTTCTGTTTGCTTCGCCGTTCGGCTTGCGTGGCGCCGATCGGGGTGNCGAAAATAATAATTTTCATGAACTATTAGTACTTAAGTATGTAAAAATTTATTACATTTCATGTTGTACGAGGGTTTTACCCATTTCTCGAACCGTGTCAGAGTGAATCCGTGCTATAGAAGTGCCGTGTTATACGGGGGTTACCTGTACTGTGCTGTTAGAAAGAGGAAATTCATGAGTTTTATGAGGTTGCCAATTGGCAGCCTCGCGTGCTTTGTTCATCTGTCACTACCATATTTTCAAGATGGCGACTGGACAACATAAATCATTTTGTGTTCTATGCTTTGTGAAGGATCGGCGTGTACGTGATTCCTCGCCTTTGGTTGGCCTCATCGGCACGCGGTTTTGTCTGTCAGCACGGTACTCTTCTCTGTGTATCCACTGATTTGTATTTTGTTAAGGACTTACTTTCTCGGGACTTACTATCATCCAGCCGTTCAGCTAGACCAGCTTGGATTCACCACTGATTGTGCTCAGCTACGTGGTANTCCTTACGTAAGATAACCTTTGTAAATATAAATGAAATACTATAATATAACATAATAAAAGGGTTAGAAATACGAAATAATCTAATAATCTAATAATCTTAATTCTTGCTGTTACTTTTTTCCCGAGCAACGCCGGATTTATCTGCTAGTATATATATATATAATAACTCCATTAAGGCGTTAATATAACATATTAATAGGTGTGTCGGATATTGTGTGGTCGGGGTCAGATCAGAAGACCAAGAAATAACGGAACGCAATCAATATAAGTATAAAAACTCGAAATTTACTAGATTGGAACAGTTAATTTTTATCGTCCAATTCTTTCTATAAAAAACATTAACTCTAGTTAGTGCTGTAGTCTATAATAAAAGCACCATAACAACAACGTCTCGGAAATTTTCAAGCATGAAAAGAATTGTCATTTACACACGTCAAATTATGCATTACAATTAATATAGGAAAACAGAAATAAATCAATTGTCTAATCATCAAGACAACGCATACTAAAGCATTTTGTAGGATCTTCTTTGCTGGCTGCATCACACAGCCGATGCCTCTTCCCGAAGCACATATGGTATCGGAGCCAGTTATTACCATTCCGATCAGTGAAATATTTTGTGGCGCTAAACGCGCATTTATCGTCCAGTTCATAATCCGGCAACAGAAAATGGTCTTCAGTGGCATCCATCACGGGGAATTCTGCCTCGAAAGAATCAACAATGGAGGATGACTACCTCTTTTCCTGTCGCCTTTTATCATTTCAGTCAAGGATTCGTCGCTATCTGTCGTTCTTCTTCAGGTTTTGGTAGAACATTATGATTTAGATTGTCCTACCTTCTTATGTTCCATATTATTAATTAAATTACATGAAAATCTTTGTTACATTTTTATCAATAGTACAAATTATACGATATTTTAATCAAATTTTGGATGTTTAATGTTAATCTTTTTTCAATTTTTAAGAAGTTCATAATATATGAAAGCATTTTTTCGTTTAAAGCATAATTTATTAACAAAAATTGTGATATTTAATTAATCTGTTGCAAAAATTTAAACACTTTATTATAAAATAAAAGTAATTAATCTTATAGTTTTACAAGATTAAGGTTATCAACTCGAAGACATGAAGACTCAACACAACGTATCTAACACGGATCGCTTTTCAAATATTAACAGTAGACCGGTATTAATAATTAGTAGTTGTTGACTGTCCTCTTCCAGGAGGAGGTCAACGACTACTTTTGATCGAATTACTTCAATCCCCTTCCGCAAAGGTCCCGAATTTCTCTCTGACCAGCGGTATAAAGGCATTGGAATTGGAAAATCCAAAATACGAAATTATCCGCCTGCACAAAATATCATTTAAATGGTTTACGGTGGTGCCGAGTTTAAAAATTTGGTCCGTTTTTCCGAAATTTCATTTGTTGGCGGATTACTATTTGATATTCGGCTGTGAATAGTACAGTTTCTTAAAGTTAATATTAGAAAATATTATGATATATGAGAAATGTAAGCTATATTTTCAATTCCTGTCTACTTGACCGTTGAATTTGTGCCATTTCGTACCAGCAGTATCGTGATAGACGTGACAATGGTAGGCTGAAATAACCAAACTCTTTATATGGTTTTCGTTTTAATGTTTGTTATATTTTAGAATTTAATTTATATAGCCTAATTACAAAAGTTATTACACCGAGTAATCAATCTAGCATAAAAAATAGAATAAATGAGACAAGTAATAAACATCTTATATTTATAGGGTGGCTACAAGTGCTATAAAGGTTAATTCACATACATCTAAAATGACAAACTTGTCAAAAAATGCATTTTAAAATTTATAAAGAAAATAGTTTTAAATAGAAGCGTTTTATTTTCTGCAGTTTGTCTTTATTTTCCTTGGATAGACATTGACAATTTGAAGCATAATTTGACAAGTTTGTCATTTTAAATATATGTGAATTAACATTTTTAATTTAACATATTTTAAAAATTCTTTATTCCTCTACTATACACAAATTAAAAAATATTTAAAATGTGTTAGATTGGGCACTCAGTGTGATAAATCCTTACGTAAGATAACCTTTGTAAATATAAATGAAATACTATAATATAACATAATAAAAGGGTTAGAAATACGAAATAATCTAATAATCTAATAATCTTAATTCTTGCTGTTACTTTTTTCCCGAGCAACGCCGGATTTATCTGCTAGTATATATATATATAATAACTCCATTAAGGCGTTAATATAACATATTAATAGGTGTGTCGGATATTGTGTGGTCGGGGTCAGATCAGAAGACCAAGAAATAACGGAACGCAATCAATATAAGTATAAAAACTCGAAATTTACTAGATTGGAACAGTTAATTTTTATCGTCCAATTCTTTCTATAAAAAACATTAACTCTAGTTAGTGCTGTAGTCTATAATAAAAGCACCATAACAACAACGTCTCGGAAATTTTCAAGCATGAAAAGAATTGTCATTTACACACGTCAAATTATGCATTACAATTAATATAGGAAAACAGAAATAAATCAATTGTCTAATCATCAAGACAACGCATACTAAAGCATTTTGTAGGATCTTCTTTGCTGGCTGCATCACACAGCCGATGCCTCTTCCCGAAGCACATATGGTATCGGAGCCAGTTATTACCATTCCGATCAGTGAAATATTTTGTGGCGCTAAACGCGCATTTATCGTCCAGTTCATAATCCGGCAACAGAAAATGGTCTTCAGTGGCATCCATCACGGGGAATTCTGCCTCGAAAGAATCAACAATGGAGGATGACTACCTCTTTTCCTGTCGCCTTTTATCATTTCAGTCAAGGATTCGTCGCTATCTGTCGTTCTTCTTCAGGTTTTAGTAGAACATTATGATTTAGATTGTCCTACCTTCTTATGTTCCATATTATTAATTAAATTACATGAAAATCTTTGTTACATTTTTATCAATAGTACAAATTATACGATATTTTAATCAAATTTTGGATGTTTAATGTTAATCTTTTTTCAATTTTTAAGAAGTTCATAATATATGAAAGCATTTTTTCGTTTAAAGCATAATTTATTAACAAAAATTGTGATATTTAATTTAAAAAAAAATCATTTTTCTATAAATATACCGTATTTGAAAATTAATTATTTTTTCTTCAATAAAAATTTGAAAATATATTTAATCACCAGAAGTTATTCTATTTTACGAATATTCGAAAAAAATTTAAAATTAATTAAACATGTCGAAAAACAAAACAGTTGAAATTCAGTTGAATTCTAATAACGAATTTGTTCAACAAACTGAAAATTTATCGTCAGGTAATTAATTTAAATAATTTTTTACTTATTAAAATAAATAATTATTAGACAGTGTTATGTTATTGTGTTTCTTTAATTAGTAACAATTAAATAAATTTAATTTTGCATGATAAAAGTTAATGAGATTACTTTAATAAGTTAATGTTTTAAATTGAAACCGCTTTAAATATCAAAAACTTTTTTCTATTCCTATTAATTTCTATGCAATCAATTCATAAGAATATATCACTACAAATGTAGAAGGAGAAACGTAATTTCTGTATTAATGATGAATTGCTACTTTAATCATGTTTTAAGCAAAGAAGTGTTGACATTTGAAATTTAGAAATGGTTTCTTCATTCGTGAAAAGGTTATATACAGGGCTATCGAGGGGGAAGTTGGGAATCTTTTCTCAGATCCGGAGAGAATTAGGTGCCAGTAATAGTTCCTATCGTATAAATTAATGTTTTTAAAATAAAATTTTTGAAACTACTTTTCATTAATAAAGAAACTTTCTATGTACAGTATTTAATTTATTCAAAACAACAATGGCAAATAGGAGTCGCTGTACTCTCGGACTCTATATAAGCTCTCAACGGCCATGCTTTAACTTATATTTAATAAGTCATCAAAATTGAATGAAGCGTGTTGAAGTGAATCTAAATAACAGAATATCAACGAAGTTTAGGGAATATGTTTTTCAAAATATGCTGAGAAATTTGGAGAAAAAATCAATAGTAATTTCAGTTACCAGAGGAAAATTCAATTGCATAAACAATTAATTTATATGTTATTACGGTACAGTACATAATCATATCATGGCCTAGCTAAGATATGGCATTTTTTCCTAACAAAGTATACTTACAAAATAGAAAATTCCTTGCACCATGTAGATTTCTATAAAATCTACATGGTGCAAATATTATAAAAATCAAATTGGAAATACAATAAAGTCCAAAATAAAAGACTCCTTCTCACTTCCAGCAAAAATATTTAATATGATCAACGACATTCGTTTCGGACTCATCCTGAAATTGGACCACGAAGAGTTAACCGTTTACCTTGAGATTTAGGCACGTTCACATGAATAGCCTATATACAGAAAGCAAGAATATTATCCGTTATTCATTCCGGCAGATTCGGACGAACCTTGCACTTTTAAAATGGTGGCATTCCAGGCTCTTGTCAGGAGGGTCTTCTCCCAGTGTACAAATGTCTTAGAGACAGAAAAGGAGAATACCTTAATGAATTCGTCGTAAAGCTTGGATACGACAGATAAAGCGTACACACTTGATAAACAACAGAAATCACATAAGAAGGTGGACGACGGAGACATCAAGAGTGCTACGATTTGTTATAATGGACTATCTATAGGAAAATCGCAAAGAACGCAAGGGTTAGAATCGATTATCATAAAAATCCGAAAATATACAAAATAGGAAGGAAGAAAGCTACATTCGATCTCTGAAGCGTTTAATTATGAGTAACCACTATATTTGTGAGTAGATGTTTGTTTAGAAAACTTCGCTGGCTTTATGACTTTCTTTAAATGGTACTGAAATGCACCACACTTTAAATTCTTATACAAGGTCTGTTCAAAAAGTATCGGACCTTATTTTTTTCCGCGTAAACCAATGATGCGAGAGAGGCCTCCTTCGGTGGAGTTGTGGAGGGGACAGTCATGCACAGCCCTGAATTTTTTCCCGCCTGCAGAAAGCGTCAGTCGTTGGCAATCGGCGTATGAGTGAGGTCATGTAGTGCGCTCTCGTCGGATTTCACTAAGCTGGAAAATGACTGAACAACGTGAGCAGCGATATTACATCAAATTTTGCCAAAAACCTTGGCGATACCCGAGTGTAAACCATTCGCAAGATTCAGCAGGCTTTCGGGGACGATCCTCGAGGCCAAAAAAGCGCGGCAGGTCCGCAGCAATATCAAAGGTCATGTTGACAGTTTTTTCGACTCTCGTGGGGTGGTGTGTCGTGAGTACGCACCACAAGGCCAAACCATCCCAAAGGAGTACTACCAGGAGGTCCTTCGTCGTCTTTCCGATACAGTGCGATGCAAACGATGGGATCTGTGGTCGATCAAAACTTGGCAGCTCCATCTTGATAACGCATCCGCCCATTCTGCGCATCTGATTCGGGCTTTCGTCGCCAAACACAATACTCCTGTGGTTCGTCACGCTCCGTACTCTCTCCACATGGCTCCGTGTGACCTTTGGCTATTTCTCAAGCTGAAAATGCCGCTAAAAGGAACCCAAATTTAGTCGAGAGAAGACATCATGCGAAATGCGACGGACCGGCTGATAACCATTCCAAAAGATGCGTTCCAGCAGTGTTTCCAGCAATGGCAGGAACGCTGGGAGAAGTGTATACATTACCAAGGAGACTACTTTGAAGGGGATTAGGGTTTTGTACCTCAAAGTCAATAAATTTATTTTTGCCGACCACAGGTCCGATACTTTTTGAACAGACCTTGTATTTTGCATCGTTCTGCAAATTAATCTGCAAGCTGCATACGAGTATAATACATAGTAGATGTATACTTATCAGACGTCAATGAATATCATCATGATGATTTCAACACTGTCCAAATCCTCCAGAAATGTAGACACCATAAATAAAAAAGTGCTTGCTTTTTAACATATTGCATAACTTCTGGATATTCCGGATGAATATAAATATATAGAAAAATAGGCAAATAGGAACCTATAAACACGAAAATATTATTAAGTATAAAAATATTTTGGTAATTTTGAAACCGTGCCAGTAATTTTTAGTAATTCGAACACAAATCAATTATTGTATCAACTGAATAAAATTTAATTATGAGATTTGCCAAGTATCTGAATAAATACAATAATTGATTTGTGTTCGAATTACTATAAAAATATTTGATAAAATAACATTAGTTTGAATTACATTCAATTACATGTAACAGTCTATTATGTTTCACCACGAGATTATCATTTTATAAATAAAAATTAATTTAAAATAAAGTTTTATATTCAGACGAAATTAAAATAAAATCAATTTCTAAAATACTTGAAAAATACAAATATTTCAAACCTTAAAATATAAATAAAATATGTAAAATAAGACAGAATCTTTAAAAGAAAAAAAAACTATAAATTAATTCACTCATTTACAGAAAAAATTAAAAATATAATGGCGAGTGACCTTAACCTTTTATCAAGTCTACTTAATTATTTTTTTAAAATAACTGTAAAATTTCACATACAGCTAAGTTTATATTGCTCAAACGTCGTTGGATTATTTGTATATTTCTGAGAATCACTACACATAATAGACGGCAAATCTGGTTAAATCGCATAGTTGCACTTGAACCTCTTCTAATCCTCTCGTTGTTCTTGAACTTTTTAGTGTTTTTTTATTCGTTTGAAACTTTGATGACTTAATTTTCATGTAATATTTTTAGAAGGTGAATGAAGGATTCTAAAAGAAAGTCAAGGCTGATAAGCTTTTAATATCTTATATAAATATATGGATTAACTTTTACCTTTTATTTAAAAAAAAAACCTTAATTTAAAAATACAGGTTGTATCAGAATGACGTTTTAAAAATTTGGGGGATTGTAAAAGATGAAATTTTGAACGTTTTGATATAAGGAACCCATAGCCGGAAATGTGATATAAAGTTTCTACAGCACTTTGCACTTTGCAGTGGGTGTGTTGAATGAAACAGCAGAATACAGTATTTATGACTAGTTTTATTGACAAAATAGTAGAGTACAATCAAACTGTACATCGAATCAGTGGCTGCACTACTTTAGAGTAAATGTTCTATGTGACGATCACCAACTTCGTTACATAATGTGCAACGACGAACCTTGTTTTCTCCGACTCTCTGTAAGATGACACGCTCCCCTCTGATGCTATTAAATGCTGTAAAGATGAGCTCCGTAACCTCATGAACTGTTCCTACAGGTGTTGTGTACACAAGGGACTTTACATAACCTCAGAGGAAGAAGTCAAGAACAATAACATGACGTCAATGGACGGAAGGGTAGCTACCAAAGTGAAGGGCGGTCAAACACTTCCTACCGCTGTAGAAACTTTATATCACATTTCCGGCTATGGGTTCCTTATATCAAAACGTTCAAAATTTCATCCTCTACAATCCCCAAAATTTTTAAAATGTCATTCTGATACTTAAAATTCTGATATGTTATACTTATAAAAAATTTTATTTGCGTTAAAAAGAAAATTAGCTACTTTGTCTGAATGAAAACATTCAATTATGAAATATTTTATTTAATATATATGTATTTAATCAACTATTTTATAAATATACAACTAGCAGGTAAGCCCGGCGTTGCAAGGGCAAAAATACAAACATACATTAAGATTATTTCGTACTTCTAACCCTTCAATTATATTATATTATACTATTCCATTTATATTTACAAAGGTAATCTTACGTAAGTGTTTATCACACCAAGTGCCCAATCTAACACATTTTAAAATTTCTTTAAATTGTGTACAGTAGAGGAATAAGGAATTTTTAAAATGTGTTAGATTAGTCACTCGGTGTGATAAACCCGTACGTAAGATAATCTTTGTTGTTATATAAATCAAATACTATAATATAACAAGCATTAAAACGAACACCATATATCGAGTTTAGTTATTTCAGCCTACCATTTTCACGTCTATCGCGATACTTGCATGGTAAAAAATGACACAATTTCATTGGGTTAGTAGACAGCAATTGAAAATACGATAAATTAAATTTTTTAAATATCGTATTTTTTCCTAATGTTAGCAGTAACAAACTGTATCATACACAGCCGACTATCAAATCAAATTTTACGAAATGTATAGCAAATATTTAAACTCGGCATCCTGAAAAACTACAAAACATATTTTGTGCTCGCCGGCAATCTCGTATTATGCAATTTTCCTATTCAAATGCCATTATACCGCTGAATCCGATAGGGAGAAAAAGCTGTTGCAGATGGAAATTGAAGTTAATTCAATTGAAAATAGTCGTTGCTT